CCCCTGTGAGCCCCCCCACAACCTCCAGTGCAAGCTCTTTACAATCATCCCTATGGGGCCCCCCACAACCTTCCGAACCTCCCACTTCATCCCACGGGGCTTTGGCAGACACCTCATAATGCTGCAAAGCCCATCCTTACAATCATCCCTATGGGGCCCCCCACAACCTTCCGAACCTCCCACTTCATCCCACGGGGCTTTGGCAGACACCTCATAATGCTGCAAAGCCCATCCCTGAAGTGTCCTGGGCTCTCACTTGGGGATCCCTGTTCTGTTCATTCCCTCTGGGGCACCTGCATTGGCCACTGGGCAGACAGGACACTAGGCTGGAGGGGCCTTTGGTCTGACCCAGCCTGGCAGCTCCTGTGTGGGAGACCTAAAAAAGTCATTAATATCGGCAGCGCTATTGAAACTGAGGCTCTTTTAGAAAGAGCCAGAGCAGCCTTAGCGCACGTCAGAATCAGGCCGTGGAAATATGGATTCCAGCTGGAATAAGTGTTTGGCCTGTGAATTGAATGTCACTGGGCTTAATTGTGGTTTAATAATAAAGATTTTCCTGTTTGAATCTCAGTGTCTGTCACTGAATAGTTACTGTCTGAGCCAAGTACTGCATGCCCCTCCCCCTAACATTTCCCACTGCTGTGAAAATTGAACATGGTAAAACCGTGCAACTGGGAGTGTGTAACTAGATCCATATAAATACTCAGCTGTCACTTTATCTGTCCACATCACACATCAAACACAATGAATTCTGCACAAGCCTCACTCTCACTTCTTACTTGCACAGTTCTGGGAGCTGATCAGCCCAGCGTGGTGGATTCTGGGGAACATGTGATGCCCCAGGGACCCTCCACACCAGCCCAGGGGTGGGTGCCAGGGCCAGAGCCCTAGTGGGACATTGCTCACAAAGCCTCCAGGGCTGTGTTGTCCTCATTGGCTCCCTCCAATTCAGCAAACAGCCTGAGTCAGCTCCAGGGAGGGGCACAGCCGGTTGTAGCTGGAGGCAGGGCAGAGCCTGAGCTCAGAAAATTGAAACTAACTCTGTTCCCCCGCCCAGAGGAGCCATGGCTGCAGCCAACCCTGTGAAAAGCCTGCAGGAGGAAGCGATGTGTCCCCTCTGCCTGGAGTATTTCACGGACCCGGTGGTCACAGCCTGTGGGCACAATTTCTGCCATGTCTGCCTCAGCCGGTGCTGGGAGGAACCCAGTCCAGCCACCTTCTGCCCGCAGTGCAGGGACCCGGTGCAGCAGGGCCCCCTCCGGCCCAACAGGCAGCTGGCAAACATGGTAGAACTAGTCAAACAGCTGACTTTGCAGGCAGTGAAGGGGGCAGGCGGGGACGGGGTGTGTGAGGAGCATCAGGAGGTGCTGAAGCTGTTTTGTGAGGCGGATCAAGCCCTCATCTGTGTGGTGTGCGACAGGTCCTGGGCTCACCGCGCGCACATGGTGCTGCCCATAGTGAAGGCTGCCCAGGAGTACAAGGTAGGGAACTGCTGCCCTGTCTGCTGGGAATTACTCTGGGTTTTAGTCACTGGCTAATTTCCCTGACTGTTCCTGGGAGAGGCTGTGACAAAAGAAATGCTCTGGCCAGGGGGCAACTGACGCAATAGAGCAAGTCCTTAAAGACACCGGCTGAGAGAAACTTCTCTGAGATGCTCAGCGGAATCCTTCTGGACCCATGCCCCCCCCCCACGGGGAAATGAGGGGCTGTTACCCAATGGGAGGCTGGCTTATAGGAATGTGCTGCCTTCAGACTGGAGAAGGGGGGGGCTGGGTTACTACAGATTTGAGGACTAGAATTTATGGTTATTACTTGTATTTGCATCATAGTTGCACTGACAGACCCCATGTGAGATCCGGGCTCTGCACAAAACCCAGCCAGGGACAATCCCTGCCCTGAGTAGTTTACAGTCTAGGCAGACAAAAGATGGAGCAGGAAACTGAGGCACAAAGGCTTGTGAGTAGGTCAGTGCCTGAGTTCAGCATGGAACCCCAGTTTCTCCAGACCCAGTCTAGGGAGCTTAACCACTAGGGTATGCTGCTACCTCAACTGCAGTGATGAAATGTGTGAGTTAGGAGGGAAAGACGCCTTGCTACAGGCCCCGGGCCCAACAGGGAGAGGAGGTTTCCTGTGGTGTATGAAGGAACGGACTCCAGCCGGTGCAAGCACGAAATCGTTTTATTGCAAGATTACAACTATCTTTATTCCCTCTCAACTTCCCAAAAGTCCACATCCTGCTTTTCACAAACTGTGCTTTCTCACAGTCCCAACACAGCATTCTCGAAGGTCGTTGACTTGGGCAGATGTTGTTATTGTTGGCTCAGGACTCTTGATCACGCGCGTCCCCGCTGACTCCTGGATTGTCCTCCAAGGTCTGCAGCTTTTCTTGGTTTTGTCCTTGGATGCCCTGTCACATGGTCAATGCACTATACTTGTTGATTCTCTACAGTTTCCCACTGGGGTGCTGAACTCCTGGGCTGCTCCATGAGGGGGTTAAACTTAGATGCTGCAGCCAGCGCTAGAGGAGGTCACAGGACAGGATGCTGTGTGGGATCTGGAGCGCCTTGAGTCCACTCACAACAGGGCTCCAGGCAGCACAGGGCCATGGCAGGGACCACTGGGATCAGACTGGGTTGGAGCAGAACTACCCCCAGGCTGGAGCTGCCCGGTGCCGGTCTGACCTGTGCCAGTGGGTACCTGGGCACGGACCAGTCAGCGAGGTTCCTTTAGTTCCACCAGGCAGGCTGTGGGAATCTCCCAGAATGCACTGCTGCCAGGAGCTGTACTAGGGACTGGGGCAGCAGGTACTTGCCCAGAGGGCGTTGCTCTAAAAAGAGTTTAGGGCACCGTTGGGGCAAACCTGAACCCTACTTACTACAAATCAGCCTGTTTAAGTATGGGGGCCACTGACCCATCCCCAGAGCACAGGACATGCTCACGTCTACCTGCCCAAGCCCACCCTCAATGCTTGGGTGGCCTCTGTGGACCTGTCCCTGCCTCGGTCAGACCATCCCTCCATTGTGGAGGTGCCGCCCTCACCTGCTGCAGCCTCAGTCTCCTCCTGTCCCTTTCTCACCGGACAAAGCCACGGCCAGAGCTGAGTCCCCACTGGGCAGGGACAGAGCCCCACAGAACTGGGACTGTGCAGCATAAAGCCGGACAAATGGCCTCCTCAGGCCCTCAGATGGGGGGGAAGGGAGGGAGACAGAAGAGCCTGGTGATCTGCCCAGGGGCCCGTTGACGTTGCTCTGCTGAGCCTCCCTACAACTAATGGGTTGGCCCTGCTGCCAAGCCCAGCTGTGTCCAACCAGGGCAGTCCCCAGAGCTGAGCTCCCAGCCCCTGTTTAAGCCCTGGTGACTCCTGGGATTGGCATCACTTAGTTATTTCAATCCCCTCACTCAGAGATGTGTTGATTCACCCCCAGTGCGAGTCAGGGCCGGTTCCGGGCTGCGCCGCCAATCGTTTCACTCACGCCAACAACGCGCGGTGATAACTGAGATCTCTTTCTAATTACTAAACGGACTCAACCTGCCTTGGTAACAGACAGATTCTGACACACTCCCAGGCTGTATTAATAAGGTTTCATCTCCTTGGTGGGCCCTGATGTCACACAGCGACTGGGACCAACAGTCACTGGGGCTGTGAGTGGGAAAACGCCCCGTTCCCCACCCCTCTCAGCCTCACAATGAAACCTCCCAGTTCATTTCTGTTTCCTCAGGGGAAAATCCAGGCCCATTTGAAGACTCTGCGGGAAGAGAGAGAAAAGCTGCTGGGATGGAAAGCAACGGGAGAGAGGAGAAGTCAGGAGTATCTGGTAGGTGCAAGTGGCTATGGACCGGCAGGGGGAGGTCTGAATGTTGGGCAGCAGCTCAGGAGAGATTCAAATGGTGCCCAGCTGATTAGCAGAATGTTCACAGCTAGATTTCGTTTCAACTGGTGGTGCACATGTACATGCCTCAGTGCACATTGAAAAATGTATTCCACACATGGATGGAGACGATTAAAGAGAACACTGATGCTGAGATCTGTCCCCTGCTGCTCTGGGTGTGATTTCCCAGAGCCCAAGAATAACAGAACTTGCTGCCCATGACAGGCAGGGAATCGTCCCTTTTAGAGGGACACATGGGCCAAACAGGAAACTGAGGGATGCCTCAGCCTAGTACCCACAGATGGTATTACAGGTTCTCAGGCTCTGCCCATGCCCCTGACCATCCCTTTCCCGGTTTTCATACGGAAAGAGACACAAGCCGAGAGGCAGAAGATTGTGGCCGAGTTTCAGCAGCAGTTCCTGGAGGAACAAGAGCGACTCCTGCTGGCCCAGCTTCTCGCTGGATGAGGAGACTGGGAGGCTCCAGACTGACGCTGACGGGAAACTCTCTGTGCAGATTTCCCGTCTCAGTGAGCTGATTGGTGAGCTGGAGGGGAAGTGTCAGAAGCCAGCGAGTGAATTCCTGCAGGTGAGACTAAGGGAGAAACATCCCAGCTCCCCACACAGGGAAGGGAGGCTCCTGAGTCAGAAGTGCTGGAGTCCAGCCATCAGATCTGGGTGTAACTCGGTGGGTGCATTGCTGACCTGTGAGTGACTGTTGTGCTTTGCAGTGTTACAGGCACAGAGCTATTAGAGATGGCAAAGCCCCATTTGCTCAGGGGAACATGGCCCTGGAGCCAGGGCAGGGCCTCTCTTCCCATGTTTGCAAAATCCCTTCCCTGGGTCCTGTGTGTGTGGATAGGGGCTGAGATTCTTTTCTCTCTCTCCTCCAGGACATGAGAAGCACCCTGAGCAGGTAGGCATCTCTCAGCCAGATGGGAGGGGAAGGTCACTGGCTGGGCACAAGTCTCTGATCAGCATCAGCCTACGGCTCTCCCCAGGCCCAGCAGACTCTGGAATTCCCCATTCAGGGCACAGTCTGACCTCAAGTGCTTCCTGGCGCTGTCACCTCCCTGGGGACTTGGGGTGGGACATGGGCCTGTCACTGCTGGGCACTGGGCACATTCAGCCCAGGGCAGCAGGGACCCAGAGTCTGTCCCACCCGAGGGCTGTTTGGAGACATGTGGGAATGGGCAGGGGAGGGGGGAGCTGGTGACTCAGTCTAGTCCCTAGTGGGCAGATTCCTACAGCCCTTCATGTAGGAACCTCCTGCCCCTCAGCGCCTGGAGGCCAAGGGGTGAGTTGGCTATGGAGACTGCTAGGAGTCTGACTAATAAGATGGGTGAACTAGAGTACTTCGTATTAAATGAGGAGATAGACATAATACCTGCCCCTCAGCGCCTGGAGGCCAAGGGGTGAGTTGGCTATGGAGACTGCTAGGAGTCTGACTAATAAGATGGGTGAACTAGAGTACTTCGTATTAAATGAGGAGATAGACATAATAGGCATCACTGAAACCTGGTGGAATGAGGAAAATCTGTGGGACACAATCATACCGGGATATAAAATATATAGAAAGGATACAGCAGTCCGGGTGGGTGGCGGAGTGGCACTGTATGTGAAAGATAATGTAGAATCAAATGAAATAAAAATATTAAGTGAATCAACATGTTCCATAGAATCGCTATGGATAGAAATTCCATGCTCCAATAATAAGAAATTAGCAGTAGGGATATATTACCGACCACCTGACCAGGACAGCGATACTGACATAGAAATGCTGAGGGAGATTAGAGAGGCTACCAAAATAAAGAACTCTATAATAATGGGGGATTTTAATTACCCCCATATTGACTGGGTACGTGTCACCTCAGGAAGAGAAGCGGAGATAAAAATTTCTCAATGGATTAAATGACTGCTTCTTGGAGCAGCTAGTGCAGGAACCCACAAGGGGAGAGGCAATTCTCGATTTAGTCCTGAGTGGAGTGCAGGATCAGGTCCAGGATATAACCGTTACAGGACCGCTTGGGACTAGTGACCATAATATAATAACATTCAACATTCCTGTGGTGGGAAGAACACCTCAGCAGTCCAGCACCCTGGCATTTAATTTCAAAAAGGGGAATTACGCAAAAATGAGGAGGTTAGTTAAACAAAAAGGCACAGTGACTAGAGCCAAATCCCTGAAAGCTGCATGGAAACTTTTTAAAGACACCATAATAGAGGACCAACTTAAATGTATA